TGTGTATGTTTTTTGCCGGCGAGACCATTACGCGCGCGCCCCGCACACAAAATTACGAGTCAAAGTAAACATTTTCTTATTAAATCATCACAGGTGTTTGTTATAAAAGCAGAAAACTCACTAGCACATCATCATCAGATAATGGATTGAGTCACTCCCATCTGTTTTCTCTGTGAACAATGCTTTTAAAACTAAAAGTGCAAAAATCTCTCAATCCCCTGCTTTCACTTCCTTTAGGTATGGCCACAATCTTTCAGGTCTTTGCATAATCCAAGAAGTCGAACTTCTGGGCCAAATGGTAAGTCTATATTTAACACTCTGAGGAACAAACATGCTACTTTCCAAAGCAGCTGGATCGTTTTACATCCCCGCTAGCACTACATAAGGGTTTTAAATTCCCCAACTCCTTACCAGGGCTTGTTCTATGTTTCCTCATTGACAGTTATTCTTGTGAGTGTAAGGTAGAATTTTATCATGGGTTTGATTTCTAAAAAGGAAATTTGAAATGATCAACCAATTCTCCCTGGTCTACAGCATCCAGCATAGATTTCAGTAACTAATTAAAACACCCTCAGCCAGTTCTGATTAACCAATTTTTCTGAGCCTGGTCTCCAGGCAGCCCTGGCACCTCTTTATCACCATCCATGAACAGCCTCTTAGCAACAACTAGTCTCGGCCCCTCCTCTAAGTGGCTATGAAAGCTATGGATAACAAAAGGAATTTGTTCTTATTAGACTCAAACAGAAAGCTGGAGCTGGCTCATGACTACCTGGTTGAGGTAAGTGCTTTCTCAAAGACTTTCTAAAGTCCCACCAGAGATTCTTCCTCACAAACTTGGGCGATACAACTTCTTTTCTTTTCTTAATCATTTATGTATTTGGTCTTTTGATACAGGTCATGCTATACAGCCCAGCCTAGCCATGAACTATGTAGGCCTGGCTAGCTTCAAATAATCCCTCTGGTCCAGCCTCCTATCTGCTAGGGTTACAAGCATGTGCCAACCACACACAGTCAGTATGGTTTATTTTCAATATTCTTTAAGACTACCTCAATTCAGAGACAATTCTCCAGACAAAGCACTGCCAGCAAGAGCCCCTCTACCAATGAACTGACACAGACACTTGTCCAAGTCTCCAAGACCAATGAATTCTGTACTATATGTAGATTTTTCCCTTTCTGCCTTAATCCCCGACCCCTAACCTCAAATCTCCTTGAATATGCTCCAGGGTTTACTATGGCATGCCGGGTCCCATCACAATGCTCTTTAATACCCTGAAATAAATAACCTTATTTTGGGGGAATGTCTGACTACTATTTAGATGGTCCTATGGTTTGGGCCTTAAATGTCCACTAAAGGACCATATGCTAAAAGTTTGGTTACTAGCTTATGGTGCAACTGGAAGAAAACACAACCTTTAGGAGAAGAGGCTTAGTGAAAGGAAGTTGGATTATTTAATACATACTTTTAGAGAGGCTGTGGTACTCTTCTTCCTCTCTGTTTCCCCAGCTGCCTAAGTTAACACTCACCTAAGGCCTCAATCATCACACATCCCAACACCCATAATATGTATGCTATGCCGCCACAGGCCCAAAGCAACAAACAAGCTTCTAAAACTGTGAGTTAAAATAAGCCTTTCCTCTTTTTAAGTTGTTTATCTCTGTTATTTCCACAGCAGCAACAAGCTAACAAAGGTTGGCACCATGAATGCCTTCCCATCTGCAGGTTACCTATTCTTCAGCAGGCAACCCCACTTCCACTGGGCTCTAACTCTGGACATTTGGGGCAGCTGGCCCTCTATACCAAAAGGTTTAAACAAGTCTTTTGAAGAATATATCTGCGGAGCTAGGGATGTAGCTCAGCTAAGAGTGCTGCCTACCATGCATAAAAGCTCAATTCGACCCCACTCCCAACACTGCTTAAACAGGATATTATAGTGAATACTTGTAATCCTAGCATGTGGGAAGTAGAGGCAGGAGGAGCAGAAGTTCAAGGTCATCTTCAGCTAGACAGCCTGGCATGCATGGTAATCTGTCTCAAAAACAAACAAAAAGTCCATACTGAATGAAATGTTTGAACTTTTTTTCCTCATTATTCCCTTAAACAATAAAGTGTAACAACTATATACATAACATTTAAAGTTTTGCAAGTTATTAACAGATATTGCAAGTATAAATATAAGTAAAAATTGCAAACAGAGGATGTCATAAACTATATGCATACCATATAAAGTATAAAGCAAGGGAGTTGAGCATATGCAATTGTGATCTCCTCTGGGGTCCTGAACAAATGTCCTGTGAAATATGAGTGAGACCTCTTGCCCAGGTCCCACTTACCTCATTCAAAGGCACAATAAAGAAGCTAGGTAGTTGAATCCTGAGCCTGTGCTTTCAGAGGGCACTCTCCAGCCCTCTAGGAGTTACAGTGGGCCCACTTACTGAGAAGGTCCTTTAAAGGTGAAACTCAAAGCCAGTAGGTCCCCAAACCTCTCCATCAAAGAGCTAAAGTCAGAATTATTTACTTTCCCTGAAGCTTGTACTTTCTAGAAATGCTACCACCTGTCAATTATAAAAGGTATAGTCTTCTAAGGAAGCATAGTTAGTTACAGTATACGAAATCATAAGGTTTAGTCTCCTTTAACCTAAGAACTGAACCTTTCAGTTTTTACGAATCATCTTTTTCTCTTCTTTTCCATTTCTGTTACTTGATGGTTATCAGTTCTGTTGGTCTTAAGTGAATCTGATAAAAGATTATGGGAAGTTTGTTTTACTTTATTTTATGGGGGCTTAGAAGCTCAGGCTAGGATTACAGGCACATGTTGTATCTGGCCTGAGGACAGATTTTAAAACTGCTGCTGTAGCTTCAGTGTCTATAATAGTATATAGCATAAGAGTTTCAAAAATATCTATTAAACAAAATAGATTTACTAAGGCAAGACAAAATGCCTTCCACCACCATCTCAATCTAGAGCAGTTGGTAGAAGGTGAGGAAATAAAAAATTAATGAAGATCACATTTTCTCTTTATTAATTTAAAGGAATAGTATGGACCCGCGTGTGGTAGCACATTCCTGTAATCCCAGCTACTCAGGATGTTGAAGCAGGAAGATCAAGAGTTTGAGACCAGCCTGGGCTACACAGTGTGAGACTATTTTCTAAAGTCTATAATACATACATACATACATACATACATACACACATACGTATATACAGTACACAGTATGTAGGTATAAATAAAAGCATACACAATTGGTTTTGGTTTTTAAAAATATGGTACTTAAGACTGAACCCAGGACTTCAAAAACAATTCTAGGTTAGTCTTGAATGGTCCCCTGGAACACAAAAACTGAGCTAAAATAACATACTTTTTCTTGCTAGTCAATTGGTTTACCTTATTAATGTATTTTTTTCCTAACTAAAGTCTGTACTCAAATTCCTTTTGTTTTCCTCTAATGTCTGGAATATGTCCTCTGATTCCTTAGATTTCATGGCCTTGGTTCGAAAACCAGCTAGGTGTTTTGTATGATGTTCCTCAGCTGTTGTTTGTGTGTTTTGTGTCATGTTTCTCTCAGGGTTTTCCTGGAGTCATGGAATTTGCAAGAATACCTCACAAGTAAAGTACCCATCTCACTCAGTCCTATAAAAGGTACATATATTTTTTTATTTTTCAGTCACAGAAAACCACTTTTGCCCAATCTTGGTGCCTATATAAATTGACAGTCCCTAACTGTAGTTGCCTGATGTGTACCAGATGTACTTGTATATTACAGACACATCTGCAGGCTTGGGAGATCCTATCTGGTTTGACCTGGGTTTTATATTAGAATTGCAATGCTTTTATCTTAAAATTAAATTTATTTAAATAAACATTACTGGTTTTGTACTTTCACTCGATATTGTCAGTTCTTTGTCTCTTTCCCGAAGGTTCCTGGCTACCCAGTCATCTTAGTCAAACTTTCAAATGTGTTCTGGAACTGGAACTATTAAGCGCATTTACTTCTCATACACTGGCAGCCAGGTCGTTACCCCTAGAACTCTTGAGGTTGTGGCTCCAACCACAACCCTTTCTTGGTTTCTCTGAAAGCAATGTTTACTTTCCCCTTCAAAGTATTCTGCCTCTTACATGCAGTGCCTGTCACAGGCCTCGCAACACAATGACATGGCACGGACAAAGAAGGTCTCTGTGCCTCATCCCACTTCTATATCACTAAGAAGTGGTATCTGGTGACAAGTTGACCCACGGCATCCCCAGAGGGCCTATTTGTATACCTGTTTTATGTTTTCTTCATGCTTCAGACATTTCAGAACGTTGAAATGACAACCACAGGTAACTTATCTAAGAACTCCAGGGCAAAAGCCGCTGGGAAGAACAGATCTTGCACTCAAGGTGAGAGTGGGCACCTGAGTGGCGACTGTACATCCTTCGGATCCACCACACACCCTTACTTCTTCACACCACCAAGTGCTCTCCTAAGAGCACCCCAGGCCCAGTTCAAGTGAAAGGCAGGCCTGGCTCCACCCACCTCTGGATCCTATGGCTGGGAAGCTCTGCCTGACAGTAGGTGGGTGAGGGCCTCTGGGCATAGGGCTCCAAGTTGAGCACCTGCTCTGATGCTCTGCTGCGGGGTAGGGGTTGGAGGACTGGACAGGTATAGGAACGGGGCAAGAAGTCCGGTGAAGGGCTCCTGAAAGAGTGAATAAGGCCTCCCCGGTCGCTGAGAAGAGACAGAGAGAGACCGCGTAGGACGCGGAGGTGATGCCTGCGGGGCAGCCGGCCTGTGCTCTGCGCACAGGCTCCGGCAACCGCCCGGCGCGGACCCCGGCCCGGCCACGGCCCGCCCTACCTCGCCTTTTAGCGCGCACAATGCCCTTCTTCTGCAGCACGAACGTGGACCCGTTCACTAGGCTCGACACCACAGCCACGCCCAGGCCGAGCGACACGGCGGCGGGGCTCGGGCCGCGCGCCCCCTCCCCGGCCGCCGCAGCCGCCGCCGCAGTCCCCATGCCGCCCGCGCCGCCCTCCGCTGCGCGTGCGCGCGCCGCTCCCCACCGGCTAGGAGAGCAGCGGCGCGGGGCGGGGCGGAGAGGGAGCCGGAGTTCGGGGTCGGACTGCCGAGTAAGATGGGGGGTGGGAGCAGGATTAGAGGGTGGATGGGAAGCATGCAGAGGGGACAGAGGAGGAGCCGAAAGACTTCTGCGGTCTGTGTGGACGCTGAGAGATAATTTGATAGAGCCTGCTGGTGCAGCGCCTGGGGCAGAAAGCTCTGCAGTACTAAGACGCCCTAGGGCGTCTGGTGAAGATGGTCAAGTTGTCCCCAGAGGAGCTCAGGTCCTCTAGGAACTCTGATCTGTTCTACCAAGGAGGTCCGCTGGGAGGTTCGCTGCCTTCACTCTGGATCATTGACCTTGTGATCATACTGTAGTGTTTCATTTTAAATCTTAATAAAGTATATCAAGATTATAGGAGAAAGTTATTTTGACTCACTTTGCCAAGTCTCACCAAGTATTGTGGGCGATTCCCACGTTTTCAATGGCAATGCACATTTTTTTCTCTTTTATTGTGCGGTACGTAGCAATCTATTCCCGTGTTATCACACAATTATTGCTTTAATAGCTGTGTAATGTCTATGAAAATATAATGTATCAAACCATTCATCAGTTGGTTGGTTGTTAGGTTGCTCCAAGTGTTTGTTTTTTCTATTCTATAATCATGCTATAATGAAAACTTAATTTTAAAAAATCCTTTGTTTAGGAAGTATTCATGTCTTTTTGAAACTGTAAAGCAGCATTACTTCTGAAGCAATATAGAATTGGACTATTTATGCATCAAAACTACTGAGGTTGTGTTGCATGCCTTAAATCCCAGCACCCAGGAGACAAAGGCAAACAGATCTCAGTGAGTTCAAGGCCAGACTACTCTTCAGAGACAGCTAAGGCTACACAGAGAAACCCTATCTTCAAAAACCACCAACACCCTACTAAATGAGTCTGCCATTGTTTCCTTCAGGGTGAAAATTTACCCACAAAAGTCACTATTTTTGTATGTGAGGCAAATGAAACCACTGAACTAGGGTAGTAAGAGGTTTTTTTTGGGACAAACTGTCAGGCTGGCTCAGAGACTGGAAAATAGCATCCTGCCAAATGAGCCTTGTCAGTTTTATGGAGAGGAGACCTGCTGGCCAGATAGCCTGGAAGTTAGTGTAGGGACGTGGATCTGTTGCAGACTGAACTGATCAGAACTTAGATGCCTTTCCCTGAGATGCTTGACCAGTCAGAGAAAAGAAAGGAAATTTCTGACAACCAGAAATTAAGAAACACTGAGTTTAGGTTCCTGTGTACTCTATAATAACCTTTCTGTTTACTGAGTAAGATTCTGGCCTGGTTTGAGCTGTTGTCTTAGGATATTGTCAGCAGCACTGACACAGGCCTGCTTGTTACCTAACAATTTTAACCATTTTTAAATATGCACTTCAGTGGCACTAGCTATGTTCTCAGTGCATGCTGCTGTTGCCTCTATTCTCTTTGAAAACTTTTCCATCACTTTCATTTCTACCTCACCCCAAACCAAGATAGACTCTAATTAGCTCTTAGTGTCTGTGAGTTTGCATATGCTGGCTATTTCACATACGTAGGATCATATAATGAATGTCCCTTGTGACTAGCTAATTTCTTGGAGTATATACATAAGTTTGAAACACATTGTACCACATTGAAGAAGTTCATTCTTTTTTTATGCTCGGGTGGCATTCAGTTATATTCATTCATATGCAGCGCTTTGTTAATTTATCTGCTAAAAGATATGGGTTGTTTGCATCTCTTTTTAAAAATATTTTTACCTGTATGTTTTCCTGCACGTATGTTTGTGTGTGTACCAGCTGTGTTCCTGATACCTGTTCCTGATAACTGTAGACACCAAAAGAGGGCCTTGGCTCCCCTGGAACTAGAGTTACAGATGGTTGTGAACTGCCAAATGGGTGCTGAAAACTAAACTCAGGTCCTCTGCAGGAGCAGCAAGTACTCTTTATGGCTGAGCCATCTCTCAGCTCCTGCTTGTATCTTTTAACCATTGTGAAAAAAGCTACAATGAAGACTGGTGTAAAAGTTTATCTGAAGTGCCTGCTTTTAAAAAAAATAATGTTTATTTTTACTAGTAATTATATATATGCATGTGTATATGTCCTTGAGTGCAGGTACCTGCAGAGGCTGTTGGATCTCTGAACCTGGAGTAACAGGCTATTGTGAGCTATCGTAGATGCTTGGAACTGAACCTAGGTCTTCTGGAAGTCCGATGCATACCCTTAACTAATACTCTCCAGCCTATTATTATTTTTAAAATTATGCAGCTTATTTTTTAACTGCTCAATATGATCCACACAGACACACATGCCTATGTGTAATTAAACGTGAAAATAATATATATATATTTTTAAAAGCAGACATTTCATGTGAACTTTCACACCAGCATTCATTGTAGCTTTATTCGCAATGGTCAAAAGATACCATTATTTAAGCTTATTATTTTTTAAAATTACTTTTAAGCCAAGGATAGTAGTATAATTCCAGGACTCAGGAGACAGAGAGAAGATTTCAAGTTCTAGGCCAATGAGGCTGTTTAAGGATCTGGGGATGTGGCTTAGTATCAGAGTACTTGACTAGGCTTCTTTAAATAAGCAATAACTCCCATGAGTAATTTCAGCAAAGGAAGATAGCAGAACAGCAGGAAGTGAAAGGTGGTAGGTTGAATGAGAATGGACCCTATAAGCTCACATGCTGGTCCCAACTGGTAGAGAAGTTTAGGATTTGGAGGTGTGGCCTTGTTGAAGGAGGTGTGTCACTGGTGGGGGTGGGGAGCTAGATTTTAAATGGCTCTTGCCATTCCCTGTTGGCTCTTTCTGCCTCCCATTTGTGGATCAAGATGTACTATCTCAGCTGTTATTGCCACCATGAGTTTGTGCTGAAATCATGGACTCTGACCCTCTGAAGCTGTAAGCCCAACTAAACACGTAAGTTGTCTCGGTCATCACTGCATTTTGTCACAGCAATAGAAAGATAACTAAGACATAGTTTTTAAACAAATTTCTTGAACCTTTGAAGTTATTTATTGCTCTAGCACCTTGCCCTACTTATTCATACTTAAAATGTGTACATGACAACCAATCAACATCCTGTGCAATTCCCGTTAATTGATGTAATTGTAATATCCCATTTCCTATAATCTCCTTGGTGTTTTCTTATTGCATAGTGTTTGTTTTTCATCTATAAACCAGACCTTTGAGGCCATTTGGAAATTTTTTATGTATAATGCATGAAAGGTGGGTACTTTTTTCCTATCATTGGTGGTTAGTTATACAGTACCTTGGTTGTAAAAACAGGAATCCAAGAGACTAGAGATGACCTTGATCAGCTGTTATCCATCCACACAGAAAGGAATAGCTATAGAAATATCCATCTCCCAAGGAAGTTTGTCTCACCTCGGGCAAACAGTTTTAGGAAGGAGATAATACAGGAGAGAAATATGGGCTATGGCTTTAACAGTTTGCTCATTTACAAGCCTGTCAGCCTGCCCCTATAAAGGGATGTAATTAGCTTTTTCCCTTGGCAGACCCTCCACTGACTACAGGAGAGAGACTGCCCCTAGCTATGTGCACTAATGAATACAATTCTGTCTGGTGAAGTCAAATTCTGGCTTCTTTCTGCCCTTTCTTCCTTCCTTTCTCTTTTTCTTTCTTTCTCTCTTTTCTTGACAAGTTTAAAACATATATTTAAAATACAATTTATAAAATGCTTAATCTGAAGGAAAGGCCATCCATCTCATATACAGTCACCAAACCCAGACACTATTGTGGATGCCAAGAAGTGCATGCTGACAGGAGTGTGATATAGCTGTCTCCTGAGAGGCTCTGCCGGAGCCTGATGAATACAGAGGGGGTGCTCACAGCCAAACCATTGTACTGAGCAAGGGGTCCCCAATGGGGTCCCCAATGGAGGAGTTAGAGAAAGGACTGAAGGAACTGAAGGGGTTTGCAACCCCATAGGAAGAACAATAATATCAACCAGCCAGACCCCCTAGAGCTCCCAGAGACTAAACTACCAACCAGAGTTCACATGGAGGGATCCATGGGTCCAGCCACATAGGTAGCAGAGAGAAGGTGGCCTTGTCAGGCTTTAAGGGGAGGAGAGGCCCTTGGTCCTTTGAAGGCTCGATGCCCCCATGTAGGGGAATTCAAGGGTGGGGAGGCAGGAGTGGGTGGGTGGGTAGGAGGGGGAACACCCTCATAGAAGCAGGGGATGGGCAGATGGAATAGGAGGTTTTGGGAGGGGGACGGGGAAAGGGGATAGCATTTGAAATATAAATAAAGAAAATATCCAATTTTTTAAAAAAGGAAAAAAAAAAGCCTGATCTGCTGACTCAGGAGCCCACGGTGGGGGTTGGGATGAGGAGCTGCTTACTATACCAGCAGAGCAAGACTTCAGGGTGCGGCTTCCCCCCCAGCCCCTTCTGTACAGATGCCCAAGGGTCCCCCCACCTGGAGCCATATGACCAGAAGCAGGTCCCCAGAGGTTTTCTTGAGTCTCTGCTTACCAGGGAGATTGGTTGCAACCTTGCCAGCACATTCCTGAGCATAGCACCTCCAGATGGGGCAGAGCAGGGGATGGCAGGGCAGGGCAGGATAGGGCTGGGCTGGACAGGTTGGCTCTGGAAGGGGCTGATGGCAGCAGATAGGGTGTTACCTCCGGCCTGCAGGTGGAGAGCACCCTGATTGAGGGGACTGAGAAGAGCTAGTCACCAGACCCGGACCCCCCTTTGGTTATAGGCTGACATCAGAGTAGTGGCTCATGGGAAGCATTAGCTGCAAGGGCTGAGGCCAGACTCTTGGGGTCCAGGAAGAGCTGGAGGAAGAGACAGTACCAAGAAGGCAGACAAAGGGGCAGCAGCCTCAGATTCCTCCCCTTTATCCCCCCCTGGGGATTTCCAAGCCAAAGCCTGCAACTTAAAGACAGAAAGAAAGGGGGGGGGAAAGCACCTATG